TCTCTCTTTTGCATAAAGGGAAGGAAAAATAAAATTAAAAAAAAAAGAAAAGAAAAGAAAGAAAGAGTCGTTTAAGTCCACCAAGACCCGGGCAGTGAGCCCTCAGGACCTCTCACTAACTCTCGCTCTGGGTAAATACGAACAATTTGGAGGAGACATGGATGGCTATGAAGTTAGGAAGGGCCACAGAGGCAGGGGGAGCAAGGGCGACTAATCGGGTAAGCGAAGTCGTGGAAGCAGACTTTGCCATGTGAGCCCGTGCACATGTGCCTGTCTGCGCCTTCAGAGAGTGGGCAACGGCTCTGCCCTTTCACAGGCCTCCCGAAGGCATCGCGGGTGTGCAGCAGAGACCCGGCCATCTGGGAAGGTCAAGTGGCGTCCGTCACGCCCCGCTGCAGGAAGGCACGTGCAGATTTCACCTCATACAGCTACCGTGAGGTCGGGTGCATAAAAGGGACGTTTCAGGTACTAGGAAAATGCCCCGAGGAACCAGAGTTCATTCTCTAGTGACCAGAGTCACTGAAAAGAATTCATCTGGGGCCTCATTCCGGATTTGGTGAATGTTGTAGCTCAAATCCTGAGGGGATGAAAAAAGCTTTTCACTCCTTATTTCTCAGCTGGTCTTCTCTCCTTTATAATTCAAATCCCAATTTCCTGGCAGGGAATATTCTCCTAATAAGTTTTTTTTTTTTTTTGGAGAGGGTTTCGCTATAGGGCGCGTGCACTCGCCAGACAGACAGAGAGAGACAGAGAGACAGAAAGCAGGAAATCACACCCCAAGGGGGGATGGCCACGCCGCAATCCCTTCTCCTCCATTCTCCTCTCGGGATGTTGGGCACACACGCACACGCGCCCGGCGTGAGTTTAAGCCACCGGGTCCGGGACTCGAACCGCGGTCGACTACGTGGGAGTCCAGCGACATAGCCATTACGCTAACTGCTGGTACCACCTAATAAGTTTTTGTTGTTGTTGTTTTTTTAGGCTTTTTTTGTTGTAGGGTGCGTGTGCTTGCTAGAGAAGAGAGACAGAGGGAAGGAAAGTGAGAAATCACCCTCCAGCAGGGATGACCAAGCCACAGTCCCTTCTCCATTTTAATGATTATTTTTTTAAAAAAAGTTTCATTTTTAAACCTGTATTTATTTATCCATTTATTTGTTGTGATTTTTTAGGTCACTGGGAAACAGACAACCTGGAATTGAACCCCAGCTGGCCATGTGGGAGTCCGGTGTCTTAACCACCACACCACCTGCTGGCCCCAAGTTTTGGGTTTTTACTTGGACAAAAAACATCCTAACCATTTGTCTGTTTTAGAAGGAAACCTGGGGACCAGCAGACGGAGAAATAGTTACATCGCTGGACTCCCACATCGTTCTAGGACCCGGTGGCATTAAACTCACGCCAAGTGTGCATGCGAGTGTCCCCAAAGTTCCTAGAGGAGCATGGAGGAGAAGGGACTGTGGCATGGCCAGCCCCCCTGGGGGTGATTTCTCACTTTCTGTGTCTCTGTCTCTCTCTGTCTGTCCAGTGAGCGTATGTACCCTACAGCAAAAATCCCACTAAAAAATAAATAAGTAAAACAAAAGGAATCATTGGCTAAACCCCAAGGTCTCTAACCTGCAGAGAAGCCCACAGGATGACCTGCTACAGTTTCTATTACAGGAACTCGCTGTGGCCCAGATTTGGCCACATCTGAAGAACTGCTAGCTTTCAAGATGGAAATAACCCCAGAACTTGTCCTTTTCATTCTTTGACATCTTAAGGAAGGGCAAATATCTGGTCTGCTCCTTCCTAAAAGCAGTTACTTAGTGGCTTTCTCCAGAAACTCTTCAGCTCTTTTCCATTTCTACCCCATACAGAAGACCACCTTAGGGTGGCAATCCAGAGCTCAGTGCCCCGTCAGCTGCGAAGGCTGGCAAGCCTCTGGACCTCTCCGGCCTCAGCCTTCCTCATCTGGATAAGGGGGGCAATGAACATATTTTGGAAAGAGGTTATAAACATCTGCGTGACCATCTGACAAGCTTAGCACAATAGCTGGGGGTTAATGCTTTTTTGAGGAAACTGGTGCCTGGCTTGAGAAGCAGGCTGAAGTCTCAGAGCAGGCTAGTCGCACAAAGGGGGTGCCTGCTTCAGGCCCTCGCTCCCACGCGCTGTGCTTCTGTGCCCCACTGTGCTGTCCTCACCTCGTCTTCTGCTGGTGCATGCTACCAAGACGAAGCGCACCCTGTTTCAGAGGTGGGCACTACCAGAAGGCCCTGCTCAGGCACCGCGCCATTCAGAGGCTGGGCCACTGGACAGAGGAGGCCCTGTGTGGGGCGGGGCATGCTGGGATCTGGCGTTTCCAGATGCTTCCCCCCAGGGCAGCACTCACTGTTAATGCCAGCATCACCTCTCTGTAGTTCCGGTTCCCATTGAGCCGCTTCTTCAGGGCTCGAATCGCATCCTTTGGCCTGGAGAGAAAGACAGACACAGTAAGTTCCTGGCAGGGGAACCTGCCATGGCGCAGTGCTAGCACGATGCCCCGTGGGGCTGGATGCGTGGGAGGGCCCCAGGTTTGCACGTCAGAATCTCCTGACGTGCTCGGGACGCGCTGCCGTGCGGATATACTCTGGATCCTGGCTGAAGCAGGGGTGGGTCATGACGTGAGGACTCTGTTGGGGGGTGCTTGTCTCCGCCCCTCCCAATGGAAGAAATAAATAAACCTAAAAAAAGATCCTGGGCTAGCCGGGTGGTATAGTGGTTAACCGGCTGGATCCCATATGACCCACTATACCGTTCAAGTCGCAGACCCAGTGGCTTGGAAAACACACCTGGCACATGTGCGTGCGTGCCCAAAATCCCAAAAGGAGAGTGGAGGAGAAGGGACTGCCGTCCTCCCTGGGGAGTGCTTTCTCACTTTCCCTCTCTTTCTCTCCAGTGAGTACGTACACTCTATAGCAAGTTAAAAGGAAAAACAATAAGATCCTTGCAGATCCCACTCTGGGGCAATACCCAACACTTGCTCCTGTTTGTGCAAGGTTTAAGTCTCGGACCTGGCAGCTTGCTCTCTCGCTTTCTCTCTCTCTCTCCTTCCCCCTCCATCTCTCCTTCTCCCATCAAATTAGAACATAATTATAACAAGATAAATAAATAAATATTTTTTAAAAAGATACTGGACTCCCACATGGCGGACCACAGTTAGAGTCCTGGAACTGGAGGCTTGCTTTCTCACTTCCTCTCACCCTCTCTTTCTTGCTCTCTAGTGAGCACACATGCCCTATGGAAAAAAACTGTAAATGATAATAATAAATAAAATTAAGTCATTAAAAAAAAACTAGAGTACAGCAACTCTTGTGCAGCAGCACAGCCCAAGGGCGCGGATGCGCGAGGAGGCGCTGCTGTGCCAGTGACCTGCAGACCGTCGGAGGTGGGAATGGACGAGCACGGTCACAGCACGCGTGGCAGTGCAGGAAGACAGTCTCAGGGAGGAGCCCCGGGAACCCAGCGTAGCCGCCCCGAGGAAAGGAACTGCGTGGGAACTGCGTGGCGGGGGGGAGGGAGGTTCTCCCTGGGGGCCTTTCGGATTCTGCATCACCTGCAAGGACCATTTCAAAATGGTGACAAGCCCACCGCTGTGTGGGTACATGGAGGGGAGTTTTCCCAAAGAAACCAGGAGAGAGACAGAGAAGGGGTGGCCAGGCCTTGGTTCGGCCCCTCGAGTCCATGGAATTCCCGTTCTCAGAGAAAACTTGAGTGAGGCCCCGCCAAACCCAAGGCATGGTGTTTTTTTTTGTTTTTTGTGTTTTTTTTTTTTTTGAGAGGATTTTTTTCCACTATAGGGCGCGTGCGCTCGCCAGACAGACAGAGAGAGACATAGAGACAGAAAGCGAGAAATCACCCCCCAGGGGGGATGGCCACGCCGCAATCTCTTCTCCTCCATTCTCCTCCCGGGATCTTGGGCATGCACGCACACGCGCCCGGCGTGAGTTTTAAGCCACCGGGTCCGGGACACGAACCGCGGTCGACTACGTGGGAGTCCAGCGACATAGCCGTTACGCTAACTGCTGGTTCCCAAGGCATGGTGTTTTTAGGTAATAGATCTGATGTGGATTCCCACAGGGGATCTTGCAAAAATATAGGCGGTCCACGGTTTATAAACAGGCCATGTTCAAATGCTTGTTAAAACATTTATTATTCTTGAGAACACTTTCCCTCTCTCTCTCTGTGTCTCTCTCCTTTCAAATTAAAATAAATGAATGAATAAATAAAATTAAATAAAATTTTTTTTAAAAAAAAGGGACCAGCAAGAGGAATGGTGGTTAAAGCACTGGACACTCTCACGTGGCCGACCGCGGTTTGAGTCCTGGACCTGGTGGCTTGCTTTTTCACGTTCCCTCTCTCTCTCTGTGTCTCTCTCTCTGGTCAAATTAAAATAAATGAATGAATAAATAAAGTTAAATAAAAATATTAAACAAAACATTTATTGTTGGCCCAACCAGTGGTGTGGTGGTTAGGGCGTCTAGATTCCACAAGGCCTACAGCATGGTTCGAGTCCCAGACCTAGCGGCTTAGAAAATATGCTGGGTGTGTGCCCAGATCCCAGCAGGACGGAGAAACAAAGGAGAAAGGATTGCAGCGTACCTCTCTCCCTCTCCATCCCTCTGTCTCTTCCTGGCAAGCACACAGGCCTCCAACAAATTGAAAACAAAAATGTGAATGTATGAAACTTGGAATAAGTCCTTCCTTAAATTACAGGGGGTGGGGGCGGGTGGCATGGTGGTTAAGGCACTGGACTCCCACATGGCTGACTGCTTGCTTTCTTACTTTTTCTCCTTCCCTTTCTCTTACTCTTTCTTTGTCTCTCTCTGGTCAAATTTAAAAATAAATAAATAATAATAACAAACAAAATTAAATAAATATAAAAAATTACTATGCAGCGTCTTCCAAAAGGTCATGGAGGAGCCAGCAGGTGGTGTTGTGGTTATGGTGCTGGACTCCCACATGGCTGACTGTGGTTCAAGTCCTCGACCCAGCTTGAAACTCATGCCGGACACATGTGCGCGCATGCCCCAAATCCCATGAGGAGCCTAGAGGAGAAGGAATTATGGCATGGCCATTCCCCCAGGGGTGATCTCTCACTCTCTGTCTCTCTCCATCTCTCTGGCAAGCCCATACATCCTACAGCAAAAATCTCTCTCAAAACAAACAAAAGGTAGAAAGTGGTTATAAACACAAAAAACGAACAAACAAGTCATGGAAAATGTACATTATGAAAAAATTATGCATAGATTTCAAAATGTATTCCACCAAAACAAACTTATTAAAAATAATAAACTCAGAGTCTCGGGTCCAGTCTGGGCAGGCCTTTAGGGTGAGTCTGTGCTCGGGGTCTGGGAGACACTTCAGAACTTTTGGGCCCATCACCCACTGCCTCAGCAGCCTGCGTTCACCTTGCCTACCTGCCCACCAGGAGCCTTGAGCCTGGTCTGGGCAGGGTGGGTCCAAGCTCGGGGCCTGGGAGACACTTCGGAACCTTTAGCTCACGGCCCGCACACTGCACTTGCGCAGTGAAAGACTGGATCCTTCACCAAGTTCCATCCCCTTAGCTTGTTCCCACCTCCTCAAGAGCTGAACGTTCAGCAGAGGAGCCAAGCACCTGACAGTACCCATAACTGCTCTGACCTGGGAGACACAGATCACCCACAGGCACGCCTGGGAACTCAGGCTGAAATCTCCTCCGCCAGGACTACAGGACCTACTCCAATAAATAGAAAACAGTGAATAGCACATCAGGTGACTAAAAACCAGCACAGACCTTGAAGACACATGAGAAAACAAGGTGAAAGCCTTGTTTTTTAAAACAAGGATAGCACCGGGAAATACACCGAAATGTCAGAAAAAGAATTCCGAATTTTCACAGTGACGAAACACAATGAGATACAATAGAAAACAGATCATCAGTTCCAGGAAATGAGAAAATCATTTCAGTGCATGAAAGAGGAATTTCATAAAGAAATAGACACCCTAATAAAAAAAACAAACGGAACTGAGACCAGCAATTGGCGTAATAGCTGTGTCGGGTGGGCTCCCATGTAGTCAACCGCAGTTCGAGTCCCAGACCCAGTGGCTTAAACTCACGCCGGGTGCATGTGCGTGCGTGCCCAAGATCCTGAGAGGAGAATGGAGGAGAAGGAATTACAGTGTGGCCATCTGCCCTGGGGGGTGATTTCTCGCTTTCTGTCTCTCTGTCTCTTTCTGGCGAGCACACGTGCCCTGTAGCAAAAACCTCTCCAAAAAAAAAATCAGACAGAACTTCTGGAACTGATGAATACAATACAATAAATTAAAATCTTCCTAGAAAGTATTAGCAGCAGATTGGACTATGCAGAAGAAAGAATTTCTGACCTCGAAGACAAAATCTCCAGCATAGACCAAATCACCAAAAAGAAGAGAAAGATAACCAAAAAAGAAAAACCACAAGGACAACATACAGGAAGTTCTAAACACCATGAAACATTAAAATATCCATATAATGGGTATTCCAGAAGGTGAAGAATCTGCTAAAGATAGGGAAAACCTCTTTCATGAAATACTGTCTGGGGGACCAGCGGGTTGCATGGTGGTTAAGGTGCTGGACACTCCCACATGGCTGACTACGGTTTGAGTCCTGGACCTGGTGGCTTGCTTTCTCATCTTTGTCTTTCTGTGGTCAAATTAAAAAAAAAAAAAAAAAAAAAAAAAAAAAAAAAAAAAAAATAAAAAAATTTTTAAAAAAAAAAAAAAAAACCTATGGCTGGCCATGTGGCAAGCCAGCCACTTCAACCATAACACCACCT